GTGAACCAGTGCAGTTGTTAAATTAGTAATACAATTATTAAGTGAATCTGGCTTCCCCATTGACTTTGCTGGTCAGAAGGTTGCAAAAAGGGANCTTCCTTCCTTCCTTCCTTCCTTCCTTTCTCTCTCCTTCCTTCCTTCCTTTTTCCTGATTAATAGCTCAGTAAAAAGAATAGTGGGGATAAAATTCCACATTGGAAGGCAACCCATTCATTTATATAAGCACCCACAGATGTTTTCCAGTTGTCCTGGTTTCCTGATGGGAAGCTGGGGGTGTGTGTCTTTAGTAGGGAGGGGCCATTGGAAAGAGAGCATAAAAAACATGGGGAACAGTGACTCTGGAATGGAGCTTCCATCAATTTCTTGCATTGCTAGTTGAGGGAAACTTTTGGTGGTACTCATGATTCTTTCTCCTTGCCTTCCTGTATTGCAGCAGTTGCTTCTGGGATCCCAGATAAGTGGTAGGTCTTGAAAGAAAAGGAGGGGGAGAAACATATTTCACCTGTAGCTGTTGACTTGGATTTCCCTCCTTCCTGAGAGATGATGAATATCACCAATGAGAGGAGACTTTCCCCATCACCGCAAAAGAAGCTATTAATGAAATGTCAAGGTTGAGTTCCATTCAGAAATGGGGGGGGGGGCACGTTAGAAAGGGGAATATTGGTGTTATTTATACCATAGTGTTATGACCACAGCTGTCAAAGCATAATGCAGTTTTCCACCACCGTGAAGGAGAATAATCAGTAAATAAGTAAGGGAGGAGAAATAAAAAGCTGAGGCTGATGAAAACCATGCAAAATAAATCTACCTTGAAGAAAGAAATGCTTGAGAGAGGAGGCTGCAAAGAACCGAGAACAAAGAAGGCTTTCTGAAGAGCAGGTGCTTGCTTTTTTTAGTCACCTCCAATGGAAATAGCAAATAGGGGGGAAAGAAATTTGTTTTCACTGTGTGTTCCCATGCAGAGAGACAATTTTACCTGTTGATCTTATGACCTTCTGTTAATCAGTGGCCTAATAGTAGCATAGTATACTCAGGGTAGATTGGAAAAACCTTTGGGTTGGCCAAGATGTCCCTGCATTCTGTTTTATTCATCTGTTGGGCATTCATTCCATAAAACCAACTATGAGAATATATTAATATTATTTAGGATGGGTGTAAATATGCAGCAGTTTGAGACTGTGGAGTCAGAAGGAGTCCTCACTTAAATGACCCCAATTGGGACCAATAATTCTGTCACTAAGCAATGTGGTGGTTAAGCAAGATGTCACGTGAACATGGCTTGAGATTTTATTGGTGGCTTTCCTGCTGCTATAGTATGTAGTGTTCACCTTTCTCCATGCTAAGAGTTTTATTACAGGTAGTCCTCAACTTATAACTATCCATTTAGTGACCATTCAGAATTAGAATGGCACTGAAAAAATGGTTTATGACTATTTTTCATACTTACAACATTTGCAGCATCCCCATGGGCAAAATTTGGACTCTTGGCAACTGGCCTGTATTTATGACGGTTGCAGTGTCCCAGGGTCATATGACCCCCTTTTGCAACCTTCTGACAAGCAAAGTCAATTGAGATGCCAGGTTCACTTAACAACCATGTCACTAACTGAACAACTGCAGTGAGTCACTTAATTGTGGCAGGAAAAGTTACAAAATGGGGCAAAACTCACTTATCTTTCTCAGCAAAGGAAAGTTTGGGCTCAGTTGTGATTGTAAGTTGATGACTATTTGTATACATTTAAAAAATAAAATGCCTATTGATGAAGATTGTTTCTGACTAATAAACGTTTATTTAAAGGCATACGTTTTTATGAGCTACAGCTCACTTTATCAGATGTGACAGAGATCTTATGGAACTAGTATCAACTCTTTGATGTTATCATTATTATCATTAATCATTACAGAGTCAAGCAGATGTTCAGACTGGGTTTGGCATTTTTGTCTACCTATCGAGTCCTTACCAAGGACCTGGGATAGGCAAATCTGGATGTTTGACGGTATTACAGTTATTGTTGCAGGATGGAAGCAGTTCCAAGTAAAGTCGCCTTCTGCAATTGACTGATGGCAAATTTGTCATTGCCTATGGTGTTTAAGTGGTGATCCAGTTGTTTTGGGACTGCACCCAAAGCACCTATTACTATTGGTACTACCCTTTTGCCATAGTCATTCTATTTCTATTTGTAGGTCTTTGTATTTTGTTATCTTNTTATTAAGTGAATCTGGCTTCCCCATTGACTTTGCTGGTCAGAAGGTTGCAAAAAGGGAACACATGACCCCAGGACACTGCAACCGTCATAAATATGAATCAGTTGCCAAGTGTCTGAATTTTAATCACTTGACCATGGGGATGCCACAATGGTTGCAAGTGTGGAAATTGGTCATAAGTCACTTTTTTTCAGTGCTGTTGTAACTTTGAACAGTCACTAAGTGAACTGTTGTAAGTGGAGGACTACCTGTACTGTATTGTATTTCCGTGAGGCTGACCTATCTCGGTGTAACATTTCTATGGATTTTGTAGAAGAACATAGGGTCACAAAGAACCACCTATTCTTTATTGTTGATTTCCTTAATTATTTGTAGCATGGGAGTCACAATGGTACCATAGGATGGAGGGGAGGAAAGGTCTATCAGTGTCAAAAGAAATAATTTGGGAAGGAGACATGAATGCAGCTTTTGACACAGATCTCTAGAAAAGTCAAGGAAAGGCATAGGGACTAGTGAGAAGGGAATAACCCTTTAAAGCAGAAGTCTTCAACCCCTAGGCTGGTACCAGGCCGCAGCCTGTTTGGAACCAGACTGGGCAAGCAGCGGGCAAGCACTTGAATTGGAACCATCCCCTCTTCCTCTCTTGCCACCGCCACTAACGGTCCACAAGCCAGATAGGTTGAGGACCACTGCCTTAAAGGAGACGACATGTGGGATGGTCCACATGGAAGCTAACCAATAAGGACAAGAAGCAGAAAAATGACCACTCAGGGGGCCTTGCTTGACTGAATATCAGCCCAACCCAGGGCCGAGCTTCAGCTTTTGATGGGCTTAAGAAACCTCTGGCAGCATTCTGGTAGACAAGCAGCTTAGGCTGTCATGTAGAATTACTTTATGTCACACAAAACTACAACTTTAGATGGAAGGAATGAGGGATTTCTCTCAATTTCATTATGCTTCAACCTGCAGAAGAATGGCAGACTGTATTTTATGATTCCATACAAGTGCAAAGCAAACATAAAAACGTACACTTTAATACCCTGAAGCTCTTTACTTTCTTTTCTCTCCCCACCCACCCCTCCCCATCTTTTCTTTCGCATTTCTAGCCCTGGAGCTTGCAGTGGTACACATAGTGAAATATGGGCTTTGCTTAAAACGGCCTCAGAAGCAAGGCAGGGATGAATAACAGTTATTAAGATTCATAGCACAAAATGAGGCTTCAATGTTCAACATGGCTATCATGAGTTCTTCATAATCAGTAAAAGCAGGATTTATTACGCTGAATATACGCTTTGCTGAATTATAAATAATTCAAGGTTCAGATTTTCATCTATATAGAATTTATATATTTTTTTAAAAGTACAGCTCTGATAATGCAGGTTCTCAGCTTTTTTGCTGTTTCTGAAAGCTGTATGATTAGTTTGCTAAGAGACTATTTACATATGCCTAGATATGTTTTGATCTGTACCATCTATGGACTCTTCCCGAGTGAGGGCAGTAAGCCAATATCAGTATCAATGCAGTATATAATTGGGAAGATGCTGTGTTTGGGCACTGCTCTAACAGAGAATCAAGGACCTCACTACCCACTTTTGAAATGTCATTCTTGATTAAAATAGCCTCTCGTAACATGATAATTATGGTTACTTTCATGATCTTCTTGATGTAAAACCAGATCTGCCAGGTCTGACAGGATCTGGAGAACTGGTAGCAGAAATTTTGAGAGTGGGGAGGGAATGGGGATTTTGCAGTATCCTTCCCCTGCCGTGTCCACAGAACCGGTAGTAAAAAAAAATTGAATTCCACCACTGTGTAAAACTAATAAAACTAATGTCTGCACTAGAACATTCCTCTATGCTGCTTAAAAATGCAGATTTTTTCTGTGCACAAAGGAAGCCAGACTTCTGTATTGTGACTAGAAAGCATGCAGCATGTTAATAGTAGTATTGAATTATGTTGCATCGTGTTGGTTAGACTACAGCATTGAAATTTGTTTCCACTTCAGATTTTTTCTTGGCAACAGACAACTGTTGCTTATTAATTTTTCTGCAACAATAACAAACCCAATAATTTGCCAAATTGTCAGTGTTCCAATATTTTCTGTTATTTTCCTGTATCTGTTTTTTTTTCTTGATCTGAGAACCAGGATCACAATAAAATTGAAGTGTCAGTATATAAAGGATTGTACAGTTTATTGCATATTTTAGTTGTAAGTGTCCTTGTAGCTTCTGTCTCCTTCATTTCTTTGAATAGTGAAGGCGAGTGACAGTTCTCTTTCTTTCAAAGCTAGTAATCTCTTTAAATGCTCATTTCTGTGGTAAAGGCACCATTAGTTAATATAGCAATATGATATGCTGCATATAACCTGTGTTTTAATTCCAGTTGATTAGCAAAATTATTATGTAAATTTTAAAAGTTTTATTACAATATGCTATGCTGAATATAACCCGTGTTCTAACTCCAATTGGTTAGCAAAATTGCTATGTAGATTTTAAAAGTTGTGTTACTCTTTGAAAAGATTCCCAAGGAATTTAGCAGCAGCTATTTAATACATTATTAATAATTTACATGGACCTGGATGGTAGGTATATTGTATTTCATAAGGTGATGTTTTCTGTTAGTTGAAGATTGTATTTTACAATGCAGTATGCGCTGCCTCTAAAAAGAGAGCGTCTCTTTTCTTCAAAGAGGGTTATAATTTCCATGTGCAAATTGATGCAGATTTATTGATTGATTCCTTTAATCAAGAAGCACTATGGCTTCCATGTAATAACATTATCTATTACAATTTACAGGAATGCATTTCCTGCTGTGAAGGGATGATCTGCAATGTAGATGTACCTACAAATCACACAAATGCTGTTTTTGCAGTACTGCATGCCCGGAGGACATCAGGAGGTAGCAGACAAACTATTAGCATCTCCTTGCTGGTCATACTCATCATAGTTTTCAGGTTATGACATGACTCTCCTCAGGTAGAAGGAATTTGTTGTCTGGTAACATGAAGACAATCTCTGATGAAGAAGACCTCTAAGAGGTCTTTTGTATGGATAAAAGCACTGCTGGGTATTTGAAGACTGCTGGTCATAACATGGTAATGAAGACATACTCAGATATTGGTGCCAAGAAAAACCAAGCACAATGGCCAAATATTATGTCAACTTGACTAGTTACCAGTAATATCAGAATTCTTTGTGTGGAACATAGAAGAACAATTTGTCCTTTGGCACGTTATTGTAGCAAGTTACTACTGTACAATTTTGAAGTATTAAAATTGTTCCTCACCTGAAATAATATTTTTTAGGGAAGTGATGATGCAATATTATTTTATATCAAAATTCTTCCTAGTTTTGAGGGGTCCCTATCTACCTGCAATCCTGACTCATATCTGATGCTGTCCAACTTTTTGCTGTCCTTACTGTGAGGTCCTTTATTCTGAATACTACAGTAGCCACTGTAGTAGCATCATCGGATTGAGGGGGAAAGAGATGGAAATGGTATTGACATTTTGGGAATGGAGACATCAGCATGTGTTTGACTATACAAGTTTGGCTTGATGCAATGGGTAAATAGGTATTATTAAGAGTTCTTTAAACTGCTTGCACGGTTAGTTCCATACCTCAAATATCAATATAACAACACTGTGCCTTTTCTCCGTATTGCCCTTGCTGGCCATGATTTCCAAACAATATCACTGTGGTAGGATTACCTCTTCATGATGAGTTGCCCTTATGCTAGAGAACTGGGGAATTATCCAAACCATCTAAGGAAGTAGAGAGTTCAGAACAACTAGTTGGTTTGCTCCACACCGAGAAATATGAACAGAAAAAAATTATGATAGTTAAACCTAGAATAATGGGCTACCAACTTTGCTTGAAGTGGCCACCGTTTCCTTAGTGATCAAAGACAAGTTAATGTGAATCACCCTTGAGATGTAGCTCAATCTGTGAGGGAAACTATACGTGTGAAAAAGATTTCAAAGGTCATGGAATTTAACACTCTATTCCAGTGATGGCTAACCTTTTTGTCCTCGCATGCCCACATCCATAATGCAGTGTGTGGGTGACCCCCCCACGCGTGACCCTGCCCCCTGTGCATGCATGTGTGACACCCCCCTCACTATTGCACATGTGTGCACAATGCCCCGCACCCTGTTTTTGGCCTAGCAGGCCTCCCTGAAGCCTCCTGGGGCCAAAAACAAGCCACGGGGGTGCACCCTCCACATTCCCCCCATGTATGTGCACATGACCACCTACCCCCCGCAAATGCACGGCAGAGACCCGAAAATCAGCTAGTCAGTGGGAGGCAGGCACACATGCACGGTGGAGCTGAGCTGGGCAACGGCTCGTTTGCCCGCAGTAAGGGCTCCATGTGGCACCTGTGTCATGCGTGCCATAGGTTCACTATCATAGCTCTATTCTGTTAAGACTTGAAATTGTACAAAAACAATTGAGATTTGTACTGCAGTGTGTTGAATCAATTTTAAATCACAAACTGAAGTTCATGAAATTTCATGAATTCATGGAAATAAAATATGGACAAATATAAATAAGAATTGGTACAAATAATACAAATAAAGGCGGAAAAAATGTTTACTGTAAGCCTTTTAGATGATAAGCCGTGTGCCCATTTGTTTATAAATATTCTTGTTTTTTTCTTTGTCTTTGGGAAATCAAGTTTACAAATGTGTTTTATGCATAGTAAGTACCATATTAAACTAATGACTTTTCATTGGAAAACAGTGTTACAAGTTCCTTTAATCACAACATCTGAAAAAAAGTTGAATTTTACCTCTTTGTATATACTAATTTCCTCAAATTGTTAAACAGTACCAAAGCTAAGGGTTATTGTTCTCCTTCCACCAACTCTAGATAGCCACCCAAGATATCTCAGTACATTTCTTGCATCATGTAAGAGCAAGAATACAGGCAAAGTGATGCTTAATAGAATAGAATAGAATAGAATTCTTTATTGGGCAAGTATGGTTGGACATACAAAGAATTTGTCTTTGGTGCTATGCTCTCAGTGTAAATAAAAAGACAAGATACATTTGTCAAGAATCATAAGGTACAACACTTAATGAAAGTCATAGGCAGTGACGTGCAGTGAGGTTTATAGCTGGTGAGGCAGTCTTCTCCCCTGACACATCACTGACTAAAGCACTTTCTTTCGCCCGCCTGTGCTGGCGGCAGCCCGCCTGAGCTCTGCCGCGAGCACAGGTGGGCGAAAGAAAGTCTCTTTCTCCCACCTGTGCTGGCAGGCTGCTGCAATCATAGGCAGGGAAAAGAAAGTGACTTTTGCCTGCCTGTGCTCGTGGGCTGCCGCAAGTCTCTTTCGCCCGCCTGTGCTGGCGGGCTGCCACGAGCACAGGTAGGCAAAAGAAAGTGCTTTAGTCAGTGGGGTGTCGCGGGAGAGGAGAGAATGCCTGAGCATTGCATTTATTAAAGAAAAAAGAAAAAAAAGGAAATTTGAAGGAAAAGTTTACAAATGTGTTTTATGCATAGTAGGGTGCATCAGAAACGGAGAAAGAGCGGAGGAAGAGTGAGCGCGACCCTGCAGCTTTAAACAGAATGACATAGTTGAAGCCTCTAAAAAAGCGGCCTCTACTATGAGGCAGGAGAACTGCGTGCCTCAACTACCTCGGGATTTTGGGGGGTTTTAATCCTCGCTTAACTCTGCCCGAGCGCCTAAAAAGTCA